TCAACAACACAATCACTTCAATCATTGCTACCAACTATAATACACTTATTTCTTGGTTTACAAATTTGTAATAAGCAACCTTTTTTTATTGACCTAATTCGTATGCATCAAAATTTATTTATTCTCAAGCATCTAGTCACATGTGCAACAATACTTCTTAATAGAAAATAGTAATAATAATAATAATAATGAGAACCTGTTGTCCAATATTTAGTTAGTTTGTGAAACTCATAACTTCTTGATCAACTTGTATAAATATGATATAAAATTTAATTACCTAATTGTCAATATTTTGTCAATAATCATAGGTAGGTTTTTTTTTAAAAAAAAAATATCCACTTCATTTCACCACTCAATCACTGAGTGAAATCTTGTTATCTATGGTAAAAAAAGAAGTTAAGCATAATCATGTTAGAAATAATATACATTGCTGCTAAGTTGTGACTAAACACACACACACATACTAAATACAGAACTTATCTATCAGATAGATTCATTTCAGATACATTAGCGATCACATGATAGATAATTTGCTGAAGTAATAATAATGATTATTTCATGTAAATTTGCTTTTTCTTTTCTCATTGCTACGTATATTACGAAGATAATCATCTTTTTTTTTTCAATGTTCAATTCAAGGACGAATGCGCTACAAATTCATAGACACGTATATTCTATCCCGGGTAAATCTATTATTGTATTGTATTAGATTCATTTTTACAGATATCTTGAAGGATTTTTTATGTTTTCATCACACCTATCTGTTATGCAAAAAGGTATCTATCACATCTGTATTGGAAGTGGTATAAAGTTATTTATTATACTTACTCTGTATCAAATAACCAAGAATGTTCAAGATTCGACACAGTAAGAAAGAATATACTGGGAAAAATCAATGATAATTAAATGAAGCGCTTAGGGTTGATAAAAATTTATGAGGTTAATCAAATGTGTGTATTCATTTCGTTTTTTATAAAAACAACCAAAATCTTGTTATCTGTCCCCTCCTGTTTTTAGCGTAAATCATTCTTGTGCTAATAATATCTTGAAACGATCATCAAAAATATACTTTTTATTGACAGATAGATAGATAGATAGATAGACAGGCAGACCCCAACCAGGTAGCCTACATCTACCAACATGACTCAGTCCACTTGTCAGTGGATTTCTGGATTTCTGCCATGTTTCGGTTTAGTCGCTCCTAACTTTCTTCCAACCTACTCCTACACCACAAAACATAGCTCGTCGAGGCAGTCGGTGGTTAAGCATTCGTAACACATGTCTCAACCACTTCAACTAATGAAGTTTCACTACTTCATCTATTGATCTACCACCCCTACCTAGAACTCGTTTCTTAACGACAGTATTGACCCCGAATATGTCGATTGATCACATTCGAATAGCCATACTTACTTGTATGATAGAAATTTTAGAATGAAATTTATGTACAACATTTTTTGCAATCGATACAATGCTTGCAGATTAATAATTTTATACAAAAGTGTTCATTATTTCTGAAACCATGATTATCTGGCTGCGAGTAATTATTGTGTAGTTGAAAGTATTCAGTAGGAAACCATGATCTTGATTTCTGTATTATTTGGTACTTGTTAGCAAAGTAAATTTACAATCTTGATAGAACTGATACTCTTAGTGATATAATGGAATATGGAATATGATCTAGAGATCGACTGATGTTCTATAGAACCGGAATTTCTTGATTGCTGTAATCAGTGAGTATTCACCAATGTTTTGCTGTCTAAATTTTGGTGATAATAAATTTGTATCGATAAGAGATGTAATATTAACGGGGTCATTTCACGAATTCATCAGAACTGGATGGTAAGTAAGCATGAATGTAGTACATTTTGGGATTTCATTTGGGGATAGTAAACAACTTTAACTTAACAGTTGTCATGTTAAAACTTGTTTATTTCAACCGTCAATCTATGGACAAATCAACTGTTTGACACTTTAGTTTGACATTTTTATTGTGATTAGCAGTTTTTTTGCTACAAATAGTCGCGTATCGACGCATTTGTATAGTGTACAAATATGGTGAGCCCACAAGGCCTATTCCAGCCTTTGGACAAATTACCTATTCCATTCTTGTCGAGTTTATTATTCACATACAAATCATTCGCTTATAACTTCATTCTTTCGATTTAAATGTATGTGCACATGCTTATTTTGCTTATAACAAGTCTAGCCTATTATTGCCTAACTATAAATACATAGTCATGTTTTATTGTATGATGAAGTTGGCCCACTCAACGTGTTCACTTCCCTTCGTTTTGCCTTTACGCTTCATATTCTCATGTTTGTCTGCGTGAATGATTGCATGAAATAAATTCATTCACAAAACCTACGTCACACAAGCGGAGTTCGCCTAAGGAAAAACTAAAAGGAAGATTAATTTCATAGCATACTCGATTATTCATCCTAAATGCAGTCAGATCTTAGGCCACTAAAATGGTGAGCCCTATTTCGAATTCTACGCAGCCATTAAAACTTCTTTCTAAATGCATAATTTGGCATGTTTTGTTAGTCTGTTCAGTGTGATAAAACTGTACATTTCTAGGTTCAAATTAAGAATTGACTTTAATAAAGCCTTATTTAGAAACTAAGAGGCATTATTCAACTGTTTCAATCCAGAATAGGACTCTACATTAGTCCTCATCCACAACTAACCTAGCAGTCGAATCGGAGAGCCTCAGTTGTCACAGTGAACATTTAGGCTTTAGACCATTGAGTTAGCATTCGACTAGTTATACTGTGCTAGAGTTTTTTAATACTGGTGGTGAGTGACAGTACCACATCCGATATAGTTGAAATCAAGTGATCATATCTAGAAAATGAATATTTGGGACACTAATGTATACAATCATTTTTACAATAAAATCAACTAAAAAAATTTTATGTATCATGAAATATTGACAAATTTAAACAAAACAAGAGTATGATGAGTAAAATAACATGAATTCAACACTATTTCATATCAGTTACAAAAGGTTCGGATTCAGACTGGTGATATGCCATAATCAATGAAGTTTAAGTCCTTTTTTCCATATTTATAATGTAGGGAAGGAGAACACAGGTGAGGGCAACCGAATTGTATTGGTTAAATAGGAAAACCATATCGAAAATCGTTAATTTGCAAAATATCAATCCATCATATCGAACTGAACTGTTCCTGTTGCAAACATCAATCCATTGTCTGACATTTCACTATTCATGCGTTTCATACAAATCCCATTGTGTTCCCACTCTTCCTTTCTTGATCTTCCCCCATCTCCTGCTGCCAGACATTACGTTTTCACTCGCGTCATATACTACTTATAAGTAGAGCGCACCACAATACTAGTAATAATAATGTAAATTTAGGATGTTCGCAACTGATTAGAAAAAGCCTTGAAATTATGAATTCCTTTACACTAACAAATCTACTAGTATCGTGATGATATGGTCTAAGGGATCTGTGAAAAAATTGGATGATTTATTTCACAAACACATTGATCATTTCGTCTACAAACGTTATATCTACCTGTTCAACTAAAGTTCAATTTCAAAGTGTAACATAGATTTCCGTTTAGAATTCAGATGTGAAGTGCATTAGTACAAGTGTTTTAAACACACATTTGTTTTTCATGACAATTGTTAAGGTCAGTTTCAATGTTTCAATTTTTCAGCGTATGATTACACGTTTCAAAGAAAATTTATGATCGAAAGAAATCCAACTAGTTGGGTAAATTTCAAGGGTGAAGGACATAACAACAGATTCAACAATGTTTCCGCTAACCTATCTACCGCTAATCAGTTGGCAGAAATTATTTTCTATGTTGATTGGCATCAGTCATCAAAAAAATAATAAAATGAAACTGATATAAATCAGTTTTACCCGAGAACTTATTGATCTAATTGTCATTAGATTGATTGTTCTCAATTATGAACAAAAAACAATATATTGGAAAATACTGCACTGACCATTTAAAACTACTAGTTATATCATCAGTTGAATGATTTAGAGAATGTGAGATGGATGATAAGTTACACATAACAATCAGTCCATTTGATGAATTTGGATAATAAGATGAGAAGGAGAAGAAGAAGAATGCTGTCAGAACTGAGTGTGATCTATTTATGCAGTAGTATACTGAGAACAACCTAGTCACATACATATACTTGTTAAGACGTGTTACATATGAAAGGTAATCTGTAGTTTTGTATGTTTTCTCTAAGCTGAAAATGTTGAATAATCCTGTGTGTTCAGGTATCATTATACACAGGAAAATGGTGATATTTATTAGCAGTATTAAGGTCAATGATGCTGTGGTTTGACTAGGTTGTAGTTGAGAGTAATGGCGATACTTGAACTTCTGTCACCAACTTGAAACATTAGTTATTAGTAGTTCGCAAGTGCACTCAATGTCTTTCATACCAAGCATTTTATGATTGTAAGAACAAGTCAAGAGGTGGTCACATTTTTGGCGCTTTCTCATGGTATGGCAAAATAGCTATATAAATATTGATGGTATCTGTTGAGATGGTGGAGAAAACTTGTAGCTCAGGTGGATGATTGTGGTGGTGTTTCGTTCTCTGAGCTGGTTGTTTTGGTTGTGGAGCTTTCATTGTTCTTCTGAACAACATCATCAGCACGAGCTTCAGATAGAAACACCACCACAATGGTATCTGTTGAGTCATAGTGCAACTCATTATAGTTTGATACATAACTCAGAATTGAAACAATCGACAATTCTATTGTACCAACCACTTCATTCTTCATAAAATTGTAAACTGTACCATTAAGCAGAACATATATCTAACTCGGTCGCATTTTTCTAACTGAACTGCATTTTCCAATCCCGCATTATTTCGATGCATATATATTTCTTTCTTCTCGCTTACATTTCCTCATAACAAAGAATGTGATTTCTTTTCATTCCTTTTTATATTCATTTAGTGTATACCAATTTTGAATAACTAATGCTACCAGATATTTATTTAAACATGAGACAAATCTATGCATGTCACAGTATAATAAATAACTCATTCATTGCACAACATACACTTCAATGGCTAGTTTCATTGATGAACGACCGACCATGTGCGTGTGTGTATCTCTCTCTCTGTCTCTCTAATTTGGTAAATAAATAAATTTAAAAAAAAAACACAACATTCAAATCATAATTCCCAATCTTGTATTGTTTTTCTTTTTTTGTAACTCATTAGAAACGGTGCACACTTTGAATGGATTGGATTACATTGTAAATGATATAAGAGTATTGAGATTACTACTTAACAAATTACTTCATAAATATAACATAATATATACCAATCAGGGTAATTGGGGAAAATTATCACAGCCCGTAGCAAACAAACAAACAAACAAACAAAGATAAAAAAAAACAACGAAATGATCTGCCAAACAGAAAGAAGTAATTACATTGAAAGTATAAGAAAAGGAAAAGAAAAACAATTCATATTGAGAATTGAACAGATCCAAATCAATGATACTAATAAGGAATGAGCATGAATAGAACATACTACAGAGAATAATAAAAGAAGGAGGAGAAGTAGGGAAAACACCAATGACGGGAACAACGGCGACGACAACAGTGACAACGACAACTTGAACAACAACAACAACTAGAACAACTAGAACAACAACAGACAAAAGTGTCCCACACAAATAAACAACTACATTAATTTTACATAATTCAATTTCATAGAAAACAAAATTTTTACTAAATTGGCATAAAACTCAAATAATACTGATGCATTTACATTAGATTAATTACTAGTCATGTCAAGAATAAAGTGTTGATTGTCCAGGAGGACGGACAATAATACTTTATCATCATCATCATCATCATCATCATCAGAATTTAAACATGGTGCCAAGGTCATGATGCACAGAGAAATGGTATTTTCAAACAAATAGTCATATTTTGTTCAACTTTATACTACTGAAACAAGAAAATGAATGAATGATTGATTGGAAAAAAAAATGCTGTTTCAACAATTTGTACGTACGCACACACACCCACATATAGACAGACAGACAAACATACAATGTGATTTGTGAAGTGGTCATGGCAAAAAAAAAACAGATATACAGAATAAATTATAATAAAGTAAAGCGAGCATAGGCTGTCTAACAACAACAAAACACGTGAATGTACGCATGAAATCAATAGAGTGTTTTTGATTACGTCACAGAGAGTATCCATAAAAAATCAAGAGAAAAATTGAAGAAACAAAAAAAAAATCGACAAAACTAATTGGAAAAGTGAAAAATAATCATTAATTATGATTACATTGACTGTACACACACACACGCGCACGCACGTGCACGTGCACGCGCTCTTTCCTCCTCACCATCCAAATCCCACCTGTCTACAAATATGTTGTATGTACTGCAAATAAGCGAAAAAAATTACATATTAAAATTTATCTATACTACTGGTAGGTGTAGTAGGTGTACAGTCAGTCAATCAATCAATCAATCATACACTGATAACTAACTAGATTATCTTATATTCTGTTGTCTATTTATCAACCACAACACAAAAAGAGACAGGTGTGACGGACAATACAACTAGGCAAACATGGGCATGTGTATAAGAATATACCTTTACACACACGCGTGCACACACACACACACACTGACACCTGAAAGACAATAATACTAGAGAGTTAGTGGATTTACATGAACAGATAAAACAAAATGCAAATCAACTGTCTTATAAATGTATATACTATTTTGATTCAAAAGACGATTGTAATTTAATCGGTGGTTCCTGGCCACCGACTGTAGTCATCGACGATACGGAAGCTCTACGAATATTAGGCGATGTAAATGGTTTACTCTTTGCAATACGTTCCGCCGAGTCTGGATTCAATGTACCTAGTGATGTAATAGGACCAGGTGTGGGTGTGGTTACATTTTCTGATAGTGTTGATCCGGTAGCCGGTGTCGTCGTTGCTGTTGTTGTTCTTGTATCGGTTGTTGTTGTGGTCGTTGTCGCTATCGTCGTGGTCGTTGGTGTTGGTGTTGGTGTGTCTGATTCATCATTTAATCCATAGAGTGAATGATCAACTTCACCATTTTCAGAGAGAATAAGCCAACATGTACGATTACGTTTACAGCCTTTGAGTAATGGTTCGAAATTTTCCGAAACTTGTACAATAGCCTGTTGTTTGTGTTTCAAATAAAGACAAAAAAATATTAAAATATTCGACATTGAATTAAAAAGAAAAAAAGTGCACACTATTATTATACACAGCTAAATAAATAAGTTTTGTGACATCATACAATCACTCTAGTAAAGTTTAGCAGCATCTATCTTATGAAACAGAAATTAGAATACAATTGTGCCTGATAGTAATCTATTCAATATTATTCACACAAAAATATACACAATGAATTTGTTTGACCAATACTCACACTAATAACATGTTCTTCATACTTAGTGAACTTTATCAATGAACTTACTCTTCAAGATAACACTATTTTTGTCCGACTTTTGAGCAGTAGAACTTTTACTAGGAAACTGACTTAGAATATACTGACGATATAGTTCTGTTTCGTAGAGACGCTGACAAAATACAGTCTTCTGACCACCTTAAGCAACACTGCAAGTATGTTCAAAATGTGATTCTCTTTCCCGAAATGCAAAATATTACCTCAGGATTGGCTTTTATCGGCACCTGAACTAGGGAAAGAGAGTGAAGTAGTTAAGCATGTTGACCACCTCCCTTATCATGGAAGTCTCACCAGGTGTGTGAAGAAATCTCGGCATGGGCTCAGAAGGCTTTTACCAGCCTGTGTCACTTATGGCGTAGGTGAGATATTCATCTACTAAACAAAGCAGGAGTTTACTACACAGCAAGCAGTTCGCTACGTTCAACTTTACGGGTGTGAAACATGGCCAACAAGAATAGAAGATATTCGCACACTACTGGTATTCGATCATTGGTTTCTTCAAAAATTTGTTCGCACATCCTGGAATCATCGAGTAGGCAATGCTGGAGTTAGGAATAGGGCATTAGGTATTAGGTAAGGATGGAAAATCATTTGACGACGTACTGAATCTCCATCTGCCTAGCCACCGACTGCCTGGATAAGCGATACTGTCTGATGTAAGAGTATGCTGGAAGAAAACTAGGGATGGCCAGACCAAAACATGGTACAAATGCACGAAATCACTGACAATTGAACTGAGTCATGTTGGCAGATGTAGACTATCTGGTTGGGGTTCACAAGAGGATACTAACCGATGGTTAGAGACCTTAAACGATATGACCGTAAGTCGTTTGCGATGAGGCAGGTGCATCCACTCTTTGTGCTCTCTGAACTTTTAATCTTCTGAATTCCTCATGACATATTGTTTTCTCTTTTTATATATATCTCACTGAATTATACTTCTTGAACAATAGCTTCGAACCCTAATCTTCTCCATTACTGCTAATACCTCTACTACTATGGGATTTGAAAAGGCAATCCCATCTCTCTGTGCCAATGTGGTATGGCGACTTTTACTGATGTATACACGTACCAAGTTCTATGTTATAACTGACTGACTGATAGATTGAGAGAAGTCTAGGAACGGTAAAACTAAAACTTTTCACCAGACGATGAAATCATTGCCTACTGAGTTAAGGCATACGGATAGGTACAGACAAACTCGTTAGGATACAAACGATTAACGTGACAGATAGTTGGAGACGTTGGATTACATGGTTTAGGAATGGTCATAATTATGTAAGTGTTTTCATTAATTGTTTTACCCGTGGATCTCGAATCTCAAAATTGTTTTAAACTTGTTATTATGCCAACTCATTCTTTCTTCTTGAATCGTATTATGCATATTTACCATTGATATTATTAATAACCTTACTGATTTGGCATTTGTTTTGACAAATTCATCTCTCTCTACTAATATGATGTGACAAGTTAAACCAAGACATATATTTTCATTGAACTCATGAATCGATCATTGTAAGTCCAACATTAGAAAGCTAGAGACATTTAACAGTCTTGATGTGGGACTCATCAGCAGTGCGCATCCACGACACTGCCCGCAGGAATCGAACACAGGACATTCGGTCTCGCATGCAAAAGCTTAACCTCTAGACCACTAGGCCGGCACCCAAAAGTGGTAGTGTAACTTTATTCAACTTTGTTGCGCAACCTCAACCAGTGCTCATTAGTGACTAGCTTCGTGAGTTAATTCCTGGAGTAGCAGTGAGAAGACGTAACCAGTGGAGTTCAAGCCTACCGATTTAGAGGCAGTTATCAACCAAAGACAACAGGTGAGACTGAGCAGCACTATCTCAGATTGATTAAAGTTAGACATTATCAGCGTTGGATGCTGAGGTCGGATGTGCTGGGTTCCCGCGAGCGGCAGTCTTGGACGAGAACTGTGGATGAGTCCCATACTAGGTAGGATGAAACGACCGTCCAGGTTTCTAAAGGTGGTCTAAAATGATTTCAACGTAAAAAATCAACTATCTCCACAACTCTATAAAGAAAAACATACATTTTCAGAGTTTTATATTGCTTAAAACTGACTATCTTTAACGATAAAAAAAATAACTTTTTACCCTTTTCTACTTAATCACATTGATTTCTATCGGAAATATACATTTAGACGAATTACAATCACAATTATATTCAACCTGTTATGAAATGTAATTAATTGTGTTAGGAACAATTTTTCAAAAAAAAAAAAAAACAACAGAACAGTTAAAAACATTTACCTCATAAATAGGCATACAAATAGTGTCAATAAAGCTGACTTGTAATTTTGGAAGTTCATTACTCCGTTCACGATCCATCAATGCCTTGATAATAATAATAATAATAATAATAATAATAATAATAATAATAATAATAATAATAATAATAAGTGATCAAAAACACCAATAATACCTTAAAATCAACTTAACAATCATACAATCTCGAGAAATTAAATATAATCGAAGATTATTTCCGAAACAGATGAATTGAAGCTACGAATGGAATTCATAAGGCACATTTTACCCTGTCTACAACTCATGAAACTGAATGTACATACATTCACCTAAAAAATTTTATTGTTCACACACTGTCACTTGAATCCAATAGCTTTCTTACCAAGTGTACCTAATGTTCTATTCATTGAACTATTATTAAGTCTAGACAGTCAGTCAGTAACTTAGTCGACAGGTAATAAAACATTTTATGTTTTTTTTTAATTAAAAAAAAATTAAATTAAGATGAATTTTTAACAGACACATGAATGAATGATTATTTTTATATCTATGCATTGAACTATTAAATTCATCCGATCGGTTATTAGTCTGTAATTTTATATTTGCACATTTGTTTATTTGATAGTCTACTAAGCTTTCTCTGCATATGTATGGTTAGTAGATTATATCAAACATCTGTAGTGCAAAGAAATTGAACATTGAACACAGGTAGACATGTAACTTTGAGAGTAGAAAAAAAAATCTATTCAATCTATTTAAAAAAAATTCCTGATAATGTATTGTTTTTTTAAAATTTACATATTGAAATTACACACTATGCCAATTGTCTGTAAATAATCAATGGCAACACAAGACAAAGTGAAAATGGGTTTTTTTTTATTCTAGTAAATATACAATGCAACACTCAAATGTAACTGAATTCTAAGTAAGTCAATAAATAAAAACAATATTTGAAATCAATCAATCAATCAATCATTGTTAGACCACCATTAGAAACCTGGAAGCACCTAAAGACGGCCGTTTCGTCCTGGTATGGGACTCATCAGCAGTGCGTATCCACGACTCCTGCTCCTCGCAGGAATCGAACTCGGGACCTTCGGTATTGTGCGCGAACGCCTAACCATCGGACCACAATGATTGGTCAATGGTTTCAAATGTGTAAAAACACAAACCTCCAAAACTCTGCCCCAAAATAAAAATATGCCTCTAAGTGTTGCTAATCAACAATGCAAACAGTAATAAACAACCCTGTTTACAAATACTACCAATAGACAGTCGTCAACATTGGAAAAAAACGAAAAAAAAACAGCGCCCCCCCCCCAATGATTTTCCCATGAGCAAACAATTTCAATCTCTGTCAGTGTACACAGGGGACCATATAACCCAGTGAAACCAACAATCAACTGATCCAATACAATTTAATGTTATGCATATATGGAGCAATGAACTTTGTGAAAACAAAGACAAAAAAAAATGAGGCGTAAACAAACTGATCAGTGGATTAATTGTTACCAGAACGAGAGTGCATGGTAAATATGGAAAGGAATGAACAGAGGTGAAGAAGAAGTAACCATAACCACAATGAAACAATGAAAATTCACTGTGATATAATAAGAATAAAGAGTGATAATAATAATAATGATAATAATAACAGTAATAATACATGTATACTGACTATTCGTGTAAGGCGTTTTAATAATACATATATATATATATATATATATATATATATATATATATATATATAATATCCAATTTAAAAATGGTAAATAACACCCATAACTAAACTGAACAATAAATTTCATTGTGTACTTCAATTTAAAAAAAAATTAAGAATATTTACGATGTGTACATAGGTGGGAAAAATGAAATGAGATGGTGAAAATAAATTGATAAAGACAATGATAATTATTTAACACCTTTCAGTCTTGTTAAAGTCCATTTATTTCAACACACATTGAAACCCAACGATGTAATAATCAGTCTGTTAGTGATGAAAGAATGCCGTTAGGCTTCCTCTACTCAATTCGGAGTAACACTTGTAGGTGACTAAGTAGTGGCTAACTTCAAAATAAGTTCACAAAGTTCACATTGTACTGGGAGTTCAATAACAATTTGAATCGTACGATAGTTGCGCCCTCCCATGACGATGGACGATAGAAGCATTGAATCATTTAATATTTATAGTCACGTGCTTGAAAAGAGTGCTAAAGGAGTGAATTTTGTGCTTTAATACGAATGTGAGTGAACACAGTAGAATAAAATATCCATTTAGTTTGTATTAACTAGGTTTTATTTTAAAAATAGTAATCCAACTGATGTTAGGACGTAATGAAAATCCATTTTATAACTCTTATTAAGACTAACTAAACCATTGTAATGTAAACTGCAATTATCAGCTGGAAAGTAGACAAACAATCACTGCTGACTAAACGCAAAAATAAATCACAACTCAAACGTTAATCCGGCAATTTATGGCACATAAGAAATAATATAGTTGGATTGAGTAGATGCTGAATGTCGACCAAGTGATACAGTCAGTCAGTTGCAACGCAGAACTTCGTACGTATGTACATAAGTTCATGTTGCCATACCACATTATCACAGAGACGCAAATGTCAAATCAAATCCCATAGTGATAAAGATAGTAGAGCTAATAATGGTAATGAAGTAGTCGTGGAGATAAGAGAGGTACTAGGGGGTGTAGAAAGGATTTGGTTTTGACCAATTTGGCCTCCTGTGCTGTTACGGGTATGAGAGCGGTTGTCACTTCCCGGCTGCCCACATCGTGGAAGGTTGTTTCTTGAGGAACCTGAAAAGGAAGGTAGATTAGTGTTGGTCTTGGAGATCTGGAAGCGTGACGGCAGAGCCCAACGGATAACTCCTTGAGGCTGGTTACGCACGGCCTTTTTAAGAGAAGTTTTTTGAGGATTAGCTCCGTTCTTAAAGGCCCTTAGTGGGCACCCTTACCCAAGGAGACGGAAATCCGTGAGGTAGGGTGAGGTGTGACATTTTTAGGGTCGACCTTTTCTAACCCTTCCTTCCTTGTGAGAAGGCAGCATCGCTGCAGATGCTAGTTGTCCGAGGGAAACACCTTACTGCTGTCACACCCCTCTGCAGTCAGCAGTACGACTTCGCCCTCAGACCTTGGGTAGCTGTTTTTAGTCTCATCGTTCTCCAATCGACGTGCCTGGCATGGTAGGACCTGCAGGAACATAAGTTCCAGCCAGTATAGCTCGGTTGGGTCATCACGATAGGCAAGCCTGACCACCACGTCAAGGTATCAGCTTCGGTCGGGGACCAGTTGGAGTTTAGTAACATTGTATAATCGTTTTTAAGTAGTGGAAAATGACAAATTAAACAGTTGATTATCACAATAATAATAATAATAATAATAATATCGATGTAGTTTGTACTATTCTAGCAGGAAAGTTAACTTTTCACAACTGACTGATTTACAATGAAACATTAATAAACTAAAAAATCAAGTGTCAATCAAAATTACAAAATGAAAATGAAAATAAAACAACGTAGCCGTTCTAGGCAATGGAACAATTCACTGAAAATGTTTCGTTTGGTTTTTTTTTTTAAGGCAAAACAAAACCAAACAAAAAAAAATACAAACAATCCCAGCTACACACAAATAGAATTCATTCAATCAATGAAATAATGTGTATGTATACCTAGTTATTTTTTCTTAAAAAAAAAACAACTATGCTAATGGCTGTAGATCAATGTTTAAAATTATTCCAAATAAATGGATTTTCTTCATTATTCTGTAATAAAGTAAGCTTATGATTTCATTTCCTCATTTTTGATTTTAGTTTTCATTTCATTTCCTCATATTTGTCTTCATACATACATACATTCTTCCGTTTTCTTTCAAATCTCGCGCCCCACCTCTCACTCTCTCTCTCTCTCATAAAGTGAACTCATGATGTATTGCTCTATTTGTTTTCATTCATTCATTCATTCATTCAATCGATGAACGTAGTTGGTGTGTAACAAGTGATTGATTGAATTACAAACCTAGTCAATGCATTTTTCTCGGAGGCAAATGTTTGTTTGTTTTTTCGACTTTCACACATATCGATATTGTTGAAAACAATGAACACAGAGACAGACATGTGAGAATTTCATAGTTCCATAACTGATAAGTTTGTGTATTGGATATTGCTGATATAGTTGATATTGGTAAATAACACAGTGTATTTGTATATTAAAATGAACATGAACAACAATCAAATACATGATGCAGTGATTGTTTATTAGTTATTATAAAATGTAAGTAATGAAATGTTGTTTTCGCAATTATTCATCGCTGCATTCCAGTGATCAATTCAACACTAGCCTTAATGTCATCTACACGTACTAAAAATAAAACATTTATGGACTATGAAAAGAGAAGAAACTAGATCATTGTAATTAATTGAAGTCATAGATCAATAATTGTCAGACTACTGTTAGAAACCTAGAAGCATTGGTCAGCTGTTTTGGTGTAAGCAGTTACCTACCTAAGACAATGGCAGATAGTCAGGCGATATTGGGGTTTGATTAGAGTTAGATTCTAACACTGGTTTGATGCTGGCTTACAAGGTCTAAGGGTTAAGTGTTTGAGTGTGAAGTTGAGTGTCCTGAGTTCGACTCTCATGTACGCGTCTTGTGGATACGCACTGTTGTTTGTTGGGGACGTTAGATCCTCAGAACTAACTGGAAAAAGTTCTAATTTTGTAATTTCATTCTGAAATATGGAACTTCTGTGTTTTCGTTCTAGAGATGCTTAGTTGACCTTCAACTGACATTTCCCCCTGGGAAAATACTTGTCTGTCATTGGTTGATGGATTATTTTAGTACGCTGTTTTGTGGCTCCCACCAAAGGCGTTTCTATCATAGTATAAATAAGCTTGCTTTGTGTGCTTAGCAACCTCGTATTTTCTGGGTACCTGTAGAATACATTCTCTACGCCTTACTAAGACATCTTGTTCTAGTTAGCAGGGCCTAGGACTATGGTATTAGAATAGAATATCACCTATAACATTTGTGTTGACTTTTTTTTAATGGATTTTCTCTGATTTTTTTTTAAAAAAAAGACAAGATGTTGACGATTTCAGTCGACAAAAACTCGACGATCTTCAAAAATGATAAAATTCAACTTTGTTTTATTAAGATGGCATAAGTTGAAATCTAAACGATAAACTAACACCAATGATATGAACTTTTATAGAATATGAGGATGTCATAGGTTCTTTTAGTTCAAGCCTCCGATTGACCTCAGTTAGTCAACCCACGGCATTGAATAGCTGTTTTGCCACTTCTTAGCACACTGTTCATCCCCCCCTCCCTACCCTACCCTGGATTGAGCGCCTAAAATACATTCAATGCCGCCACAACGAGTACTTAACAGTTAGACCAGTAAGTAAGAATGCATTTTAGTTTTTTTTCACATTATTTTATAGGTGTGTGCAAACATCCAATGCGTATCCATAATTTTTTTCATACAATCCACGCACACACACACACACACAAAAACAGATTTCTTTTACAAAGACATGTAGTCTTTGTAAAATGTAATTATCTATAAATAGTGTTAACACTAAACTTATTACAGTAACCAATGCCAGTGTTTATAATAATGAAATACTACTGATGACGACAATCAATCCTTTGAAAGTTAACTATTACGCTTCATTAAGCATACATAGATAGAAAGTAATTAGAATGAGAATAACTAAAAACATAATTAGTGCATAAGAAAAATGTACGCATCGGACTTATTTGATTTTCGGTATTTTTTTTTTTTTAAAATTATTTTACAAAGTATTATTATATGTATTGAAATATAGACACACAGTACCTAGAAGCAGAATGCAGAATGTACATTTCATCTAATTTAGAGCTTATCAACTAGATGTAACTGCATTTCACAGTTGATGTTCACTTCAGGATTGACGCTCATTATCTTCCACAGTAAACCTTCAAACGTCGTGGTATTCTGAATTGCTCTGCTAGTCTCGATCGATCTTAACTTAAATACTCATGATGGAGTTCAGTTCTCTGAGCTGGCTCTGTTTAGGCTAAGCAGCTTTGATTGTCTCTCTGAACAACATCACTGTCACAAATGTCAGGTAGAAGTGAAGTGTTCAAATTGCTACCTGATGTTTTTTTTGGTTTGCGAGTGCTCATCAGTTAATGACCATTAACAAATTTTACCAAAGTCAGTGTATTGTATTTCAAGAGTGTTGTTTTTATTTAAAGATTTCCCTTGTGTTGTATTGAATACAATCATGTATGTCATCGAAATGACGATAGACTTAAACACGATTCACTTATTGATTGAGTGATTGATTCAAAATTATGAATTGATCTAAGTTAGATGAGTGATTTTGTTCTGGTGACTGAACGATCGTTTGGTGCTCTCAAGTTTACAAGGGATAATCAAATTTAGATAAGTTCATATTTTTAACAAAAAAAAATTATTCAACAAAATTCTCATTCCTATTGAAATCATGAAAATCAATCATCATTAGAAACCCGTTGGATGCCGCCGGCTCAGTGGTCCGGAGGTTAGGCGTTCTAGCGTAAGACCGCAGATCCTAGGTTCGGTTCCTGCGAGTAGTGGGATTCGTGGATGCGCGGTGTTGACCAGTCCCATACCGGGGGACATAACGGACGTCCAGTGCTTCCAGGTTTCTAATGGCGGTCTAACGATTGATTGATTCGTGATTTCAATCATAAACAACATTTCCCATAATCCCATAGTGAAAAATTCTCACTACTCCATACTGACTATTGATTTGGAATTAGAATTTCTCATTGAAAAAAAGCCAACAGAACAATTCAATGTCTATAAATATATGATAGAAAATGTATACAGCCTTACTGTCAATCTCTTCACAAATCATAATACTGAATGTAAAAAAATCATGACATGTTCAAGAAATCATTGATCAAGAGAGAGAGAGAGAGAGTGAGTGAGCCAAAAAACAAACACTATGAACAAAAGAAAGAAATTTGACTTACAGCTGGTGTCACATTCAATCGTTCTTTTTCTAAATCACCTTGTTCAAAAAATTCATTGGCAACCATTTCAGCTGTCTTGATTGATAAACGAAAATTAAAATGGAGAAAAAGACAACCAAACAATAGAATGGAATCATAAAAGACGATTGAAAATAAAAATAGAGACGGAAATTTATATAGTAAGCAAATTCCAATTTCTAATTGGTTATCATTTTGAAATCTTCAGTTAACTGATATTCTTCAAAAGAATTGAATCAGTATATAAACTCCTAGATATGGGACTATTTAGTATAAAACTTAACACCTACTGAGATCTAGAGCTATATATATATATGTGTGTATATATGTATAAAATTCCTATGTTAAAAACCAACAAACATACTAATAGTTCAACTTATAATCAATGAGTTCAATGAGTCCGAATCGACTGGTGAATATTTTCAGCCTCGAGCGACCTAACACATAGTTTGATAATCATTGTCTAATATCGAGGTGGTTGATTTTATTCCCAATGGAAAATTAAGAATTCTGTATAGAAACGAACTGCGCCGGTAGAACGTTCGGAGCTATTACCGGTCCCAAGACCGGATAAAGGAGGAGGAGTTGGACATGGGGTTTGCGCACCCATTCCAACTAAAAACTAACTTGCCAAGAAAGCGCTAACCAGAAAAAATAAATCAAACCATTTTAACTCTGCTCTTGGAGTTGGAAGAAGAATTATGACGTCTCGTGATGAAAGCCAAGTTCCCTCGGAAGTCACGAGGCCAGAGCAACCATTCTTTCAGATACAAGAGACGTCCAAACATTGTGGGAGACTGGAACACTATTTCAAGTTGCTGCAGAAAGGTGAAGATACAACCTGCAGGTGCTTTGAATCAGCGAAACACAATGGACACAGGTAGGACAATGTCAAGACAGTTCTACTGTATGGAGCGGAAACTTGGAGGACTACCAAAGCCATCATCCAGAAGATACACGTATTTATGAACAGTTGTCTTCACAAAAAACTTCAGACTCGTTGGCCACACATTATCAGCAACAACGAACTGTGGGAGAGAACAAACCAGATTCCAGTGGAGGAGGAAATCAGTAAGAAGCAGTGGAACTGGTGGATAGGACACACACTACGAAAAGCACCTAACTGCATCACAAGACAATCCCTCACATGGAACCCTCAAGTTCAATGGAAAAGAGGAAGGCCAAGGAACACATTACGCCGAGAAATAAAGAAAGACATGAGAAGACTGAACAAAAACTGGAAAGAACTACAAAGGGAAGCCGAGGACAGAGTTGGTTGTAGAAAACTGGTGGGCGGCCTATGCTCCATTGGTGGTAACAGGCGTAAGTAAGTAAGCAAGTAAGTGTGTGTAAACGAATCATTGATGAGGTAACAAATACTTAGCCAAAAAGCAAGGCTGAATAACAGTGATTATGGACATTCCTAATCTAAATTAGTGATGTGCTTGAGGATTTCGAAGTTAATATTAGTAGATTGCCAAATTAACGTTGAATGGAACACACAATGGTATTCACAGCCACCACCACATAGAGCGAAGTAATCAGATATCAAAATGACAAAAACAATCAACATTTTTTTCCAAGTTTAACCGACTACTTTAAATATAGCAAACATTTAAAAGTACACAAACAGTATAGACTTACCAATTTTTGTACTGGCCATGGTTTAGTTATGGCTGACACATCACAAGCTGTCATAAACATACAACCAAGTAGTAGACGTTGTTCACGATCATTTTTCCATAAATTTGTAGATGGATCATGAGTTTCTTTTAAATTATGCAAAGTTTGTTGAAATTTCGGTAGTCTAGCAAAATATCTTGATAGATCTGTGGCTAGTATAGCCTCTCGAATTAATTTCACAACAGTATCATATTCTGGTCTGGGTAGATTGTATAAAAAGTTATTACCCTAGTGGCAAAATAAAAACACTACAACATGTTTCTCATAGGATTGCGCTTATCAATCACTGCAAATTTACAAAATTATTTTCAGTGTGACAAAAAAAAAAGTACAAACAATCATCACTATGATTTTGACTGCATATAAGAGTAAAATTTGAACAAATAAATAAATAAATGAGTACACCGCTAGTTGGTCGGTTATGGACAAAAATTGAATACGAGTCGAAAGAAGCTGCATATGTGCTTGATTCGGATTCATTTCTTTAGTCATTCAATAATGGGATAATCTTACAAAACTATGCAATTAACTAGCCGGTCCTAGCATACTTGTAAGCTAATTCACCATGAAAGTGACAAATTACATGATAGTTGAACATGTTTACCTCAAATTCTAATTAATTTCGTCACTCAACGCTTGGAATTGCATGAAACAAATATCACCGACTTCATTAAGAACTCTACGTAAATAACAGCAAATTTTGTCTATTGGATGATTCGATCATGAACACACACACACTACTTAAAAAGAGATTAATGACTGAAGTGAGCATGAATTTTTTTTTTTTACAATTTAAAGACCATAATTAATTAATAGTCACAAAATAAAATGCAGTGAACTTATTAAAAGTTAGATAGATAGATAGATGAATGATTTGTTTGTTGAAAGGCTAAATAAACCTCATTGCTCTACTAATCGGCTTTATATAATGAAACAATAATTTATCGTTAACTATAATAATCAAGCAACAGATGAATATACTTTATTGCTTCATCTTGAGAAATTACCTATCATCACCTACAACTATCGTTGTCTACCAGTTATCGATCATTTTAAGAAAGTAAGTCTACATCGAAGAGGATTTCAACTAGGATTGGGTTAAAAAAGCTAAACAGGATATTTTCCAACAGAATAATTCACTTGATCTTATTAACATGTAGTGATGGTACTCATTGGTTGTTATTATAATAAACTGAAAATCATTTCTTAATTAACTGCTATGAAAGTAAAAAAAATTTTATTCTTCTTTCACTAACTATGAATTCATACACATCAAACTTTTAATTTATCCTGCTAGAGGAAGCTAGGTTCAAAAGAAACTTTTCTCGTGAGTACTTAAATGAAACCATATTTGTTATGAAATATCACAAATGTTAAGCCTTCAAATAAAATTCACGCAATTTCACAGCACAGAGCAACTATAATAACCATTGAAATCAACCATGCTGGAGGTGAGACATCATTAATCAACCGTAATGAATAATCAGTGGATCTTCACCACAAATCGATGACTGACATTCTAAATATTAACCACTGATTCGTTAGTCATAAAAGTATAAACCGTGAAACAAGCCTTAGATTTATGAAGTTTCACCTATAATGCAGTCATCAGCAGATAGGATTGACAGATTTCATCACTGTACTTATACAGTGCTCTCTGATTGCCGATAGTTTTTCATCACAGTTATGAAGATTGCTATTTTACATTGAAACAGTAAATCAATCATGGTTAGATCACCAAAAGAAACCTGGGCGCACCGGACGAACGTTCCATCCTCGTTTGGGACTCTCGATAGTGACCAGTGTCGGGTGTAAGCAGTAACGACTGAAGACAAAGTGTGCGGTTGAGCAAAAAATTTTAGATTGATCAAAAGTTAGACAACAATAGATGCCAGCTCACTAGTTTGTAGTTTAAGCGTTCGTGCGCGAGACCGAAAGCTGTGGTTCTGATTGCTGCGGATGAGGGGGTCATGGATGCGTACTGCTGAATAAGTCGTCCCGTACCGGGATGAAACGGCCCTTCAGCGCTTTCAGGTTTCTAATGATTCAAGACTCCAATAATTGATCGGCTATCATCAATTTAAAAAGGGAAGGCATTTTCAAATATAATAATATCATAATATCATTTCAATCAGTTAAAAACTCATGAACATGAAAATCAATGCACTAATTCACCTTTATAGTTAATATCATCATGAACTGATTGAAATGATGATGTTCAAGCACTGATGTAGAATATAATTTAGCTAATGGAGACATTGTTTTAATTTGAAACTGATTATCTGTACCACGATGATCAATATCATGCGAGAGACAAGCAGTTAACAGGGCTAAACATTCCAAATCTGTGAATACTGACTGGAAATCACCTTTCTGAAATAAAAGAAAGAAGGGAAGAAAGGAAAGGAAAGGAAATTACGACAGTTCAATGTAGCAGAAACAAAAAAAAAGGGGAGGTGGAAGACAGATGGAAAAAAAACAAATGAACGGAAACTATGACTGACAATAATAGCAAATAATAATAATAATAATAACAATAGTACTAGTGAGAATTTTAATAATCCTATAATTTCCTTTTGAATAACATCAATTATCCACACCTATATAGACAGACAGATACATCATTGGTTGTGCATTTAAAATGAGCGTTTGTTGAAATTAGTTTTTCTCCAATATATCGTAGAGAAAAACATACACACACAGACAGTGGCGTCAATCATACCTAATACGCGTGCGTATCAATGAAGAACAGAGAGAGAGAGAGAGAGAGAGAGAGAGAGAGAAACCAACATGAACAATTAATACTTCTTCCAGACAGTGAACTATGCATTGGCCTAGTTTTCATTCAAAACAATAATTGATCATGAATAATCACTTTGACATAGGCATTATTCATTGATGATGGATGGATGATGTGAAAGGTTTTATCAAACCCATTGGCTGTTTATTATTATTATTATTAATATTATAAGGAGTAGCTTTAACAACAATAGACAATGGCGTGATATATATTATATTTTGAAGTACTATTAAACAATGGCTTCAGGCTTATTGAAGAATGAATAATATTAATAATATTATTAATAATAATAATAATACAGACATTGCATAGAGCAATATTTTACAGACAGACATCATGCACTTCATTTCTTATTCTGTCTTTTCTTCACAGTCAGACGTGATTTTTAATTTCTACCAATTAGTTAGTCAGTCAATATTTATAGGGAACTATTAAAGATTCATTATAATCTATCGTTTTCGTAGGGTGTGTGTTGTATATTCTCTAAGCCAAATGATATAATAACTATAGAGTTGTCTGTGTTATTTTAAGCAACATATTGAACAGCCAACTACTTCATGTCCAAATAAATGGCTCAATTAATTTAGCTGAAAATTAGTTTTGTTAGAATTATTTTGTTTAGAATTTATTGTCAACTATAGCATGTAACAATCTAAAGCTTAAAGTATATGTCAGTAAAGCAACTGAGGCGCGGTCAAACTCTTGTAAATACATTCACAAACATGAATATACGTAATTTACATTATAGGGTTGTGCGGATTTCTCGAGTCACTTTGGAATCGTGAATCAATTAATATTAGACCATGGTTAGGCGTTGGCGCGCAAGACTGAAGGGCCAAGGTTCAAATCCTGCGAGTAGTAGGAGTCGTAGATGCGCACTACTGATGACTCCCATGTCAGGACGAAACAGCTGTCCAGATTTCTAATGTTAGTCTAGCACTGATCGATTCACGATTTTAAAATAAATAGGTAAGTCGAAAACGACATATTTAATCTAAACTTATTTTTTATCGAAAGGAAAATGTTGTGATGTTAAAATATGAGTATGTTACGCTTAAATCTAAGTGAGAATCAACATAGAGATTGGGAATTGTTAAATTTCAATCACCTATTCGATCTTTCATAAATAAATCCTGAAGATTCACGACATAGAAGATATAGATTATGGTTAGTATTACAATTTATGCTCACATAAAGTAGATATGCATGTATTTCGGTGCTGATATTGAACACTGAGACTTGATACGTTTGTATTCAGCTTTAGCCGTCAGACAGTTATCAACTGAGCTACTGAATCCTGATTATCAACAAGTCATTACCAATAAATATTCAGTTTGTGCATTTAACTTACAGCCAGCAGTACAAATTTGTTATTAGCCACGAACACAATTGTATACAATTTATGCTAAAAATGATAATAACACCCACTCTCTCGAACACTACTTATTTGAATACAATTAACAATTTTCAGAACATTATTTGAAAAACATTTTCTTTTTATAAAATGTCTTAAACAGCAATCAAATGCCATTCACATTCATTCATCTAAGCAAATGTATACTACAACCAATTGTGCATTTTAGACATTTCTTTTCATCGCCTAATTATAAACGACGTATGAATTCTATCGTAAATGCTTATTGTTTTGTAGACGAACAGTAGATAAACACTAGGAATGAATCAATAAACCACCACAGTGATGCTTATTATTAAATCGCTGAGTAGTAGTCAGTCAAATTCATGATATAAAGATTGGCAGGTAAAATAACTTTTATGGAAACATAACTAAAATTGAAAATTTTCTAGCAATTATTACACACTTACATGCTAAAAAAAAGTTACCCCAGGACGTATTATAAACAGAGTGCCACTTATCAATGAATTATAAAGTGTCTATCAGTCATACAACTCCCGAAATGAAGTTTGAATTCTCGTTTTTAGTTTCGGAAATGTCCATTCAAATAAATGAACTACTATGGGGATCGTTCTTTTACCTTGAAGTCATGAATGAAACATTGTTAAACCACCATTAGATACCTGTATGCACTGGACGGTCGTTTCGTCCTGGTATGGGACTCATTAGCAGTGCGCATCAACGACTCCTGCTACTCGCATGATTCAAACCCTCAAACCTTCGGTCTCGCGTGCGAACTACTGAGCTAACCATCCAACGGTGTAAATATCTGACGCTGTTCAATCTTAGGGCTTTGCACGATTTCACCCGTTATCTTTGGCAGTAACTGTCTACACCCGACAGGGTAGAACACTATTGGTCACGTCTTCGCATCAACTTCTTACAAAGCAAAACATTTATCAACCATCGAATATTATAAGCGGGAAAATTAGAATTTCAAACCAATTTTTCTTTGTTTTGACGTAAAAACAAGAAAAAAAAATTAGAAATACTGGTCATAAGAGAAAAAGAACTTTTTCTGCAAGAAATATTGAAAAATAAAAAAGTACTTTCCTACATTTATAACGTCAGCAATTGTTTTTTTTTTTTGATAATAAAATTGTAATCAATAATAAAATGTACAATTAAGAAAAAAAAAAAGAAAGAAATTAGTTTTATTATTATTTTGACGAAAACAAAGTACACGCCAGAAATAATCCGACTGATCAAATGTCTCCGTAATTATTTAAAATAGTTAAGGGAAAAGAACTGAAATAAGACATGATGATGATGGTGATGATGTAATAATTTAAGCTGTAAAGTTATTTTCATAGCAAGAACTAACTTTAATTGAATAAATATTAAAAAGCAAAATGCATTCATAATGAAACGAAATGGGCCATTTAGTTTTGTAAAACTTTCAACAGCTGTCTAACTACAGAAAAGTAAGAAATATATATGCTCAGTCCTGCCTTTTAGAATCATGAATAATGGACTAACTAGCAATTAGACTTGAAAAGAATTCCCGAAACTCTCAAGTGACACGTCTAAAAGATCGAAATTCAATCACAAAGCAATTGTAAGACAAGCGTCAACAGTGATAATGTATAAGGGGTAGTGCAAAACCATACATAGATTGAAGTTGATAAAGTAGGTAATGGGATGCAGACGATGTGGTCTCAAGGTGATATCCTTATCACAAGATATCACTGATTGCCCTGGTCCATATATCTTTAGCGGTACTACTATAAGTGCTTACTCATGTGAAGTGGACTTCTAGACCAAAACAGCTGATTGGTGTTTTTTGGTTTTAGATAGTTTGTTTTTGCTAAAATCAATCCGCGATGTAAACCATCCTCTGATTGAACAATATTCACAAATCTAACTAACATATATTAACTAACTTTAGCTAGTTAAAGTACTACTAACATGAGATAAGGAGATAAGATCTAAAGAAGCTTGATTTTACGCTAAAACACTTTCATCTGTGAATCATTGGAACACAGAACACAAAGTACTGATTATCATTATTTTAGCCTTTACTAAATCCGAAAAATAAATCTTACTCCAAAAACATACCTGGGTACATCCAGAGATTTTATTAAGTAGCTTCCTTGTTCATAAGAAGTATATGTTTCACGTTATCCTCGTGAAGGCAGTAAAATTCTCAAAATAACTCAATATAATTAAAAAGCAATAGGTTTTTGCCTGTGGGGAAAAAATGTTTGCTTAGGAGAATTGATGATTGGCTAAAATAAATAGTTGAATTCGTGATAAGAAATCGATTCAATAGCGAATGATAGAAAGTGTTTCTAAATATATTTAAATCTCTAGATTATAAGTATAACAAAAATTAAAAGTAACTAAACCCAAATTCAAATAGTTACCTAACAAATGATGGACGAATAAAGGATGATAATAATATAATAAAAAGATTTGGCTAAAGTTAGCTCCGATCCAGTAATCTAACTACATCACTTATGCTGAAAGAAATGAAAATCTTGTGTTGTTTGTTCAGTAGTGAAGAGAAGTAGGCATAAACTAGGAAGAACTCGTTATTCAGAATTAGTTCCAAAACTGTTTTTTTTTCTAGCAATATTAGAAGACTGTATACTGAAAGCTATGCACAGGTGATCGCTCACCATGTGATATGACCAACGATATGTTTGTTTTAGCCCATTAGCGTTGATCGAATTCTATGCATCAAGTTGCAATGAGATTACTACACGTCTAAGTGAGAAACGCGGCGATCTGGACACTACCACTGCGCGACAAACCCAAAGATAATATACACCTCAAACTGTGGAGCTAGATGACGAAAGTTCGAATACGCCTGACAGCATGAGTTCCATCAAAAATTTTGAGTATACCTTGGTAGGATGCAAACACATACCTCAAGCGTTTTATGTCACCTAAAACTATTTTTTTAAATAGATTAAAAGTATTTTATTTATGATATCTATACTGAGAAGACTTTTACTCAAGTGATGATGGTTATCGAAACACAACACAACAGTATTTAAACATAATTCATGCTACATGTTTTTACAGATATGTGATTCAGTGAAGAGTTCCTTTTTCCGGCAAATTCACTTTTAAAACTGTACAGTCGCAAATATATAGTTTTTTTTCACATGGTGATAATTAAAATCATAAAACATGTACCTTAAACATGACTATAGTGAAGCAAATGAGATAGTAAAAAAATGTTATTTTGATTAAGGGAAGCAAGAATAATGTTATTGTTGAGGAGTTGAGTATCCAACATGAAGATTAACAAAGAAATAAGAACCGGAAAGGTATGGTTCAGTGTGATCAGATAAAATGTTCGAGTTGAGATGAACTGTAATCAGGAGAAACAGAAATAAAGCAGTTGGGGATAAATGGTCTATAAAGAAGAAGAAGATAGAAATGAAGCAGACAGTTATGAAATATAAAATTGTCGCTTTATTTTTACGAGCGATTCATATCATGGTATAAGAAGCCGTTGGACCAGTTTCTTCTATACACATAATTCCGGTCCTTCCAGATGTGTGGCATATACTTTTGATATGCCAAGACGATGGCCATCCAGTGTTTTTAGGTTTCTAATGGTGGTGTGGTCTGACATCAATCGATTCATGATATACATTCATGATATATATATATATATATATACTCTTCCGAAGATTCATTTATTATCAAGGCATTATCTAGGGTATATAGACTTGCAATTATATCTAAGAGAACATACAATTTAAAAAAAAATAAAAATACTAGAGATAAAATCCGATCGTCTAAAAGTTAGCGTTGTAAAGCAAGCGCTTTCCCTACTTGAGCTATCTACATTCAAAAATCAATTTACTAACATAACATATACACTATGCTAAAATTGAAAATCAGTTAGTTAGTTCCCTATGAAAATGTTTCGAATAACATACTTCTTCCGTTTTTTTTTTTGATTTCGGTGTCCGCTTTGTGTTCAAAAAAGAACACAGAAATGAAAAAAAAAACTGTAACTACAAAACAACGAAGACGTGAAAAAAAGCCACTGAAGAAAAAAATAGTTTTTGGGGGGAAGAGAAAAATCCCAATTGTGAACACTTCTTAACGAAAAAAACAAAAAAACAAATCTATCCAAGTGTTCTGCCAGCGTGTACGTGTAAGTGTATCCATGAAAAACCGTAAATCATAAAATAATACGTTGTTTTTTTTAAAGAATAAACACGCATTACTTACTAGTAATATACAAAACATTGTTTGAGTTACATTGAATGCATGACGCCAATTGTGATAAGTGACTTCACGATAATTTTTACGTACTGATAACAGCCAACGAGCAAAGGACAATTGATCGAAATGTATTGATTTCATGAAATTCATTTCACGAAACATTCGTATACACGCTTTCAATGTATCTTCATCTGATAATCTATGAGTATTATTATCATTATTATTGTTATGATTACAATTTATTGTTATACATTGGTTTGTTTTGTTTGAATGAACAAATAAAATAAAATAAGAGTAAATGAAACCATTAGAAATAGCAATTGTAAAAAAAAAATGCAATTTACAATATCGAATCGAAAACATTGTTTTTTTTCTAAAAACAATTCGTGAAAATATTTAATCTTTAAAGATAATAAATAATAATATTCACAGTACTTATTTATAAATCAAGGAATTATACAAAATTATATCATAAAACATTGAATATCTTAGTGGGGGGGATGAGAAGATTTGATTTTCAAATTGTGTCGATAATTTGGATTCATGAATTGTAGTCCGCCATGAAACTCCGCCAGTAGAACCTTCGGGGCTACTGCCGTTACCAAGCCCGGTTAAAGGAGGAGGGGGGTTGGACATGGGGTTGGCGACCCCATTCCGTCAAAAACTAACTTGCCAAAAAAACGCAGCAGTAGGTCTCAAAATACATAAAGGAAAAAGCAAAATTCTCCAATGCAACACAACATGCACCAACCAAATCACTCTTGATGGAGATGCCTTGGAGGACGTTAACACTTTTACATATCTTGGCGGCATCATCGACGAGAAAGGTGGATCCGATGCAGATGTGAGTGCAAGGATCGGCAAAGCACGGGCTGCATTTCTACAGTTGAAAAATATCTGGAACTCCAAACAACTTTCAATCAAAACCAAAATCAGGATTTTCAATACAAATGTCAAAACAGTTCTACTGTATGGAGCGGAAAATTGGAGAACTACCAAAGCCATCATCCAGAAGATACAAGTGTTTAGTAACAACTGTCTACGTAAAATGCTTCGGATTCGTTGGCCAAACAATATTAGCAACAACCTACTGTGGGTGAGAACAAACCAGATTGCAGTGGAGGAGGAAATCAGGAAGAAGCGATGGAAGTGGATAGGACACACATTGCGGAAAGCACCTAACTGCGTCACGAGTTAAGCCCTCACTTGAAACCCTCAATGCGAAACGAAAAGAGGAAGGCCAAGGAATACATTACGCCGAGAAATAGAGAAAGATATGAGAGGAATGAACAAACATTGGACAGAACTGAAGAGGGAAGCCCAGGACAGTGTTGGTTGGAGAAAACTGGTCGGCGGCCTATACTCCATTGGGCGTAACAGGCGTAAGTAAGTAAGTAAGTAAGTCCACAATGAGTTTAATAAAAATTAAGCTGAATTAAAGAGAACAGTTCTGATGTGTCCTAATAGCTACTTGACGCTTAGATTGTAAGATCAGTCTTATGTAGATTGATGTGTGCATGATTTTGAAGAAATACTTTTTTAATAAATATTCAAGGAATAACAACTTTTAGTGAAAATAATCGTAGTAATAATATGATTTCGAACCAGTTAGTTCCATGGTACTGTATATATTCACTAGTAAATTACTTGAAAGTTTTTTAATAGTAATATAATGATTCTTGAGAACATTTTTTCAAAACAACTTGACAAGATTTTCGTGTACTGTTACCGGTATGAGGGTAGATGTCACTTCCCAGCTGTCCACAACTTGGAAGAGTGCTTCTTCAGGAACCTGAAAAGGAAATCGGATTGGCGAGCAACATGGGAGCTAAGACCGCAGAGCCCGAGGGATGACTTCTTGAGGCCGGTCACGCACGGACTTTTTATGGGAAGTATGTAAACTGTTAGCTTCGCTCTTTAAGTGGCCTTACCGTTGGAGACGGAAATCCGTGAGGTAAGGAGAGATGTCACATTTTTAGGGTCGACATTTTCTAGGCCCCTCCTTCCTTGTGAGAAAGCAGCATTGCTGCAGATGCTGGTTGTCAGAGTGAAACACCTTACTGCTGTCACACCTCTCTATATCCATCAGTAAGACTTTGCCGTCAGACTTTGAGTAGCCTCTTTAAGTTTTAACCTTTTCCAGTTGAAATACCAGGCATGGTAAGATCTAGAAGAACGTATGTTCCAGCAAATACAGCTCGGTTGGGTTATCACGATAAGCAAGTCCGACCACCACGTCAAGGTAGCAACTACGGTCGAGAAACTGAAAAGTGGTTAATCATCCTAGTAGAATGTGAATATGATTAACGATTGAATGAAGACTATTTAAGTTTAATTAAAGAATATTATTATCATAGTTAAAAAGAAATTACAAGAGAAATTATGCATCGAGAGATTTGTTAGCTTTATCATTCTTTCAGGAAGTCGATTTTTGTGAAAAAGAAAATGAATGAATTTCATTACAAAACACTGTAAACTTGCTACATACTGCGCACCATTTTTCCATGCGAGCATCAACACGATAAAAAAATAACTGAATAAAAATAGTGTTGTTTCCATGGTATACTACTGTAGTGCATTATAACATGACTGGCGATCAAGATAACGCTACCGCAAGACTGATCACTCAGTCAATATGTTATGAACAGACTGGATCATGTTAAAACTAGAAACACAATTCGTAACCACCTCTATAGAGGGTAGACTGGCGAACAGTTTATCTGGCATCATTACATGCAGTCTGTATATTCAATGAGTCCAGAATAGAAATCAATTAATGGGAAAGGAATTCACAGATTGAATAGTCTACAAACTAAGTTTATTTCAAATCAAACAAAGATGCACACATCTCTACAAAATGAAGTGGGAATAGAATACGCCTCCTAGATTCCACTGTTAGTTGTTACTAAACAACAATTACTTGACGAACATTTCTATTTCTTCACCTAAACTTTTGCAAATATATTTTGCCTAACTCGTGTAAAATACCATCCATATCAGTGAGTGACCTGATTTAGTGAAAATAAATAGAAAAAACCATTCAATAGAAAATAGATGACGTAAAACACATGCACACACACACACACACACACGCAAGCAAGCAAGCAAGCAAGCGCGCGTATATTATTACTCCATTGTGCATTCATGCATTGTTTTACGATACCGCATGCCAATAAAATAGAATTGTTCATATTTTCAGAATAATAATAATAATAATAATAATAGTGAATAACAGAATAATAAAATCCGGATTAAAAAAACTGAACAAAAAACTTCAATAGAATTATGATTTAATTTTTGTGTAAAAATAAGTAGTCCAAATGTATCCAAAAAGATGTTTTTACACACATATATTGAAAATCTAATATCACTCTATGGATGTGGCATGATTATTTATGATAAATCATTGCATAATCCTAATAAGCTACATTTATTGTTATGTGTTTAAAATTAATTGATTTCAGTAAAGGTACAATCATCGAATACGGAGGAGTTCCACGCTAAGGGAACAAACAAATGTCTATTTCTCCAAGATTTTCATAGAAAATCAAATGAGATCAAATTATGTTGAATTCAATCTACTCTTTTAAATCAGTCTCCATAAAACGTTTTCCAATGAATCTCTAAAATACTCGACTAATTGATGATTTACTTCAACTCTAGGGAGTTGTGAACTAATGAAGTTCAGATATGTAGAGAGTGAAACAATTAACGCCAGTCACATTGGATAATTGTCGTGAGATACCCACATAGTTATCGATTTCGGGAGTGTATCAATGCATGACAAACAAGTAATAGCTGGTTGGCTAAGAAGCATTTACTGTTAAGACCAAAAAAGTTTGAAGTCCACTCACTATCTGACGAGAACATGAGCGTGCACAAATTGATCAGTATCTTGCCAGTAGGAGACATCTGTTTTAATGTTTCCAATTGTAAATGACACACCAAACAAAATTAATCTTCAACGAAAACAGGCTACAAATCTCCATGAAATCTCTTGAGTTAAATGGCTGATTGATTTAAATAAAAGAATTCAATGTTTTAAGGATTATTTTATTGATCCTCAGTTTTATTATCTCAATCAGATGATAATAGTCATCATGATAAAGAATACTAACTATACGTTTTATTTATCTATCAGATGATGCAACTAAAAGATTTTGTGACTCATAATATTTGAGTAAAAAAAAACAGAAATAATAAATGGAATGTAACAGAATGAAACTACGAAATTCAATGTACATTCCATCATAAATAGAAAACAAATGATGTATGACAAGTTTACACGTAACTCACTAGTACCTTCAGGAAACTAAATACTTGATCACCTTAACCCCTGTGAGTTATTTGGTTGCTGACACAGCAGACTTCACGTGATTCTCCTAGATAATCATGCTGACAGGCAAGTAAGCTAGTTGACACGTGATGTAGCGGCTCAGTAGCTGAGTCTTCCTGCGCGTTTAGTTCCCTGTCTCAGTCACTAATCTGGTATGAATAACGACAGATGCTCACAGTAACATAAGTCATTGATTCCAGATAAGGTAAGTTCTTTTTTGACTTGAAAATTTCGAGAAATTCAGGAATTTATTCCTAAAAAGTTGGAATCCATCTTCCTTGTTCGTGTACAGCTAGGTGAATAATATAGTAATTCAAGCGAGGCGCCTGTGGATTCAGGGCAAAGTTGAGCGTCTTCTTAGTGTTTCTAAAATGACGTCCTGTTTAATGAAACTGTTAATTAGAGTTCGTTCATTTGTATGCACCACCAGAAGAGTGGGACCTTAATCATTTAGCTAACAGAGGTCTTTATATATGTGTGTGTACATACCGCATACATATTACTAACACTGAGAAGCAAACACCAAAATTTTATATTTTGGAAATACAACTCCTAGATTGAAGCAAATTATTCCCAATTCAATTCCGTACAAGTAATCTCTTCCATTCAACAGAAAACAGAGTGATCATTATAGATGTCATACAAGAAATCAACGACTTTACAAAATGATGTTATCTTTCAAAAAACAATAAAAATTATTACAGTAAACCTTCTTTTATTAACAAAACTCGATATCTTAAAACCATTCAAAAACCTTTAGAGCTAAAATATTCAAACAGTTGAAGAATACCAGTGATAAGAACACTGAAAAGAGATTGACTAATTTCTAGAAAGCTATTTACGGCTAGGACAGCTTCCTGGTAACAACCTTAGACTTTAAATCTGAATGACAGATTCGAATCCCAGAAACAGTTTCAGTTCCATCAATATATTGCAAGATACAACTTGTAAGCGAGTGGCAATCAGCACCACAGCCAACAGTTGACAATCTTCTTCTGACAACAACCTTCAACCAACTAACATTCACTAATCTTAATAAAAACAAAGCATAATGATATTTTCTCGAACGAAAAAATCTTATCAATAACCTACCGTACATCAGTAAATGAAAATTTATCTAAATCATAAAATCGCATTGTTGGTATTAATGATGTGGCTAAACGTTTCGCTTCCGATGTCGGCGCTGTAGCATGATAGGACAAAACATCCATGATAACTTTTTGTTTTGCTGCACTTCGTATAGCTTTTTCATATAATTGACTATTTGAAATACCCAAACCAATGAATAAAGCAAATGCTTCAAATAAAAATTCATCCGAATAAGTAAATATTCCAGACCAATTAGTAATGGATGAAGACACTGTAACGGAGGAGTCTTTGGATGATGAACATGGAACAACATTATCTGCCAGTGGTTTACAATCGAATTGAGGCGTAAATTGTTGACTGAAATTATTATTATTATTATTATTATTATTTATTCGCCAATCAACAGTTGATTTGTTTGTTATTATGCATACAGCTAATACTTTACCATCAGAATGTTTAATTGGCATACAGAGAATAGAACGACTTTTCCAAACTGGATCTAAATCTTCTTCAAGCTTAATTATTGTATAAGTTATTTTGTTGTTGTTGTTGTTGTTGTTTAGGAAGGGAAGAGAGAAAACATCAACAGATATGTTATGAAAAGTCAGTAATGGAAAAGAATTAGACATGTATTTGAACAACATATGTAAGCGAACAGTATTGTTTTCAATTAGATCGTTATCAGGCTTTACTCTAATATATACGAGTATTTATATGAAACTGCCAAACTATTCAAGGCAATTTATGAGTCAATAATCACAGTGAAATAGATTGCGTAACTATACACGGTTAGGTAAAAGTACACGTTGATAGTAGTATTGATAGCGGTCATAATATAGATAAATCTGAGCCATTTCGAGTGATCTATCGTATATCACCATCATTTCCCAACGGAGTTCGATCCCTTCTCTTATACATAAAGCAGAAGAGATACGAATGCGAACATTCTTCAGAAGAATTTCGTGACACCTCTATCTCTTCCGTGGCCGGATATGACTGAACTAACGCTTAAAAGATAATTTTAATTTAATTTTATTATTATTATTAGGATTATTTTCACATCCTGCATTTGTTGGTAATTTTCTTCGTCTTCCCGTTTATAATCTTCACTAGCTGATTCTTTACACACTTCTTATTACGTAACTGTTACAATGTTTTGTGATGATTAGTTTAAGTCTATTTATCCACGTGTGCCCCACTTTTTCCAATGTTGAATTACTGAAAAAGTTTTGTTATCATATTTTCTTTTTCTTACTACTATCAGTATACCTATCTTCTTACCATCAACTAGTACTTTTACCTACTATGTGTAGTTTCATTGTGATTATTGACCTAAATTGCCTTGATTGGTTTAACATAGTCATATGAATATATTCATGTATATAAGAGGAAAGACCTGTTTACGATCTAATTGAAAACAATAATGTTCGCTCACATGTGATGTTCGAATTTTCACAATGGGAATCTTGAATATTTTAGAAATTTATTTGTTCTTGTTGAATGTGCTTGTTGAATTTTATAGTTTATATTATGGACTGATTATACTTTTCACAAGAAGCGCAGTATATGATCGATTTTTCAGCAGTAGGTATTTACGAACCTAACAACTCCGGTTTTACTTGCGAATGCGTCTCTTTTAGAACACTCAGCCGCTAACCAACCATTTTGTTATATTGTGTTTCTCCCACTAATGCTATCAGTGAATAACTGCTTTAGACTTGACACAGTTTAACTTCGTTTGTGACCAATTTGGTATGAGGGGAGATGGCACTTCCCGACTGCTCACACCGTGGAAGGATGCTACTTGAGGTACCTGAAAAGGAAGGTGGATTAATGTTGGCCTTAGAGACCTGGGAGCGTAACCGCAGAGCCAAAGGGACACCTGCTTGAGGCCCGTCACGCACGGTCTTTTTTATGAGACATTTTTGAAGTATTAGCCCCGCTCTTGTTTAAAAGCCCTTACCGCCGGAGACGGAAATCGTTTGCAATGGCGCAGGTGCACCCACTCTTTGTTTTATCTCAAATTCTAACCTCCTGAATTCCTCATCATCTCGATCTTTTCCTTTCTAAAGTTACCTTACTTAATTATACTTCTCGGATCATATCTACGTACCCTAGTATTCTCCATTACTGCTAATACTTCTACTATCGCTACCACTGTTGGATTTGAACTGTGCTGATGCGGTATGACAATCTGAACTTATATAATCATGTACGGAGTTCTATGTTGTAACTGACTGACTGACTGACAGTTTAACTTTGCTGGTGATCGATGTCCAGCATTTCCTAGCTTTTAATTATTGCCTTATTAAGGTTAGTTCGTGATGTTAACTATATAAACTCAATAATCTCCACTTGTACATCAACAATTATTAACCATATTGTCAAATAGATTAAACGTGAAATCTGTTTATCATTTTCGAAGAAAATAAATGTTAACAATCCCCTCAATATTTCATTCTTTTTTTTTTTAAAAAAAAACCCATTATCTTATTCTCTTCTCTATAAATGTTTATTTATTTTAAAAATCCACGCAATCACATTGGTCAAAATGAGTTGATCATTGATATAACAACTCTTATCATCATCAGATTCAAGATGAATATCGATCGGTAAGTTACAGTAAATAAAAACAAAATCATCCATAATAAAAATTGATAATTTTTATCATAATGACTTACAGTTTCGTCAATTGTCTTAGGTTCATTATTGTTGTTGTTACTATTATTATTATTACTATTAGTAGCAGTAGTAGTGATACCATTGGCATTGACATGAAGAGACTAAATTAGTAAACAAAATCAAAAACACAAACACACACGGGGACAAATAAACACTGATAGATTTATACACATATAAACAATAAAGCATAGAGGAGTATTGATTGACAGACGCAGAAGCAAGTTACCACACACACACACACACATAAATCAGGGTGTATACAAAATGGGATTCGAAGCAAATTGCTGACAGAACGAAACCATGATCAATATTATCATTATTATGAATGATATGCGATTATGATCGACTGCCAGTTTGTTTGGTATATCATAATAAAAGTGTATTGAAAAGGCCGATCACAAAGTGGCATAACTTGTGATAATTAAAATAGAAAAACATATTAAAAAATCACAACTGAAATGAGTTGTGATTATTACTTGAAATTACGGTACATTGCAACATTGTAGGTTGAAAAAAATTAGAAATAAATTTAAAGTTAACACAAATTTAATAGCCGGTTACCGGATATATAATTTTACAGTTTGTTAACAACCGAGGAGGGAAACTGTTGCCGGTGAGTTGTTCTTGGCAAATCGACCTTATAATTTATTGGACTGTGTACTAGTTAGTAGTAGTATTGGTAGTACTATTAGTAGTATGGTGTTAGAGGTATTCGACCGAAAGTTCTTGATTTAGTGTGGAATTCCACAAAATACTTATATGAGATCATGAAGAAAACACGTATTTTCAACATATAATAAGTGGAACGAATATTGCTAGCAGAGAAGATCACAACACGTATTTGGTCCTGTTTGGAACTTGTCAGCCAAATATAACTGCTTACGAAAGTTTTTATCAACTCCGCGACTCGAACCAGGTACTGACGCACTATCTACATACTGAACATGTAAGAATTCACTCACTGCTCAGTGATCAATCGAATATAAATGGATCAGCTCTACAAGGGGTCGACTAAAGCCTGAATAGCTCAATGAAAACATCGCTGTTAATGAATCTTTGTAACACAACGAGCTTCAATTATATCACAAACGAAAGGTAAATTTTGTTGTTTCGTGCCAACGAACACGATATCTAGATTCAAGGTTTTCAGAGGACTACTTCCAACTGACTAATAAGTCAGTATTATTTTTTAGTGAAAAGTTATTTTGATAGATTTAAAGCATATTTTGTACAATTTACAGGTAATTCTAATCAAGCATCTAACATCATCTGAAAAATAGGCAACACAATTGAACAGTTATGGTAAGAAACCCTTCAACAATGTATATAGAGATAATCCAGTGGTATTTCAGGTTACAAATCACTTCCAACTTATAAAAAATCTCCAAATACAAAATCACTTAACGATGATTAGCAGCTCCGAGAAATATTTCAAGGCGTTTTAGTTCATAGTTATAAAAAAACTGAACACATCAAACGGAAAATGAAGTATCCAATTATTTATTCATGACATGAAACAAGTATGATGACATTGCACAAAAACAATTCAGCTGAACATTTAAACTATACAACTGTGACTAAATAATTTGAAAATATTATCCTTGCTAATATGAAATGTTATAGTCTAACTGGTGCATTGGAAAACTTCACTGTAAAATTTGTCAGCGTTGCATAATTTTCGATAGTTCTTCCTTCAGTTCACATTATTCAACGACATGTAAACCATGTCAAACCAAACGAAAGAAAAAAAGGCGTCAACATTATTTCAACTCACTTCACCAGTTTGTAATACATGAATGGCCAAATCCAATTGAACAGGAAATCGAGCTTCGTCAATACTTTGAATTTAAGCAAAAAAAAAAAAAGATATAGAAATATATTAATACAAATAAAATTACGAGCTATTTGCATGACTGAAATGTATTATAACATGAAATGAACTTGTAGCAACTGACTGATAGACTGATGATCTGTGTAGTCAGTCATAAGGGCAAACTGTCTAATTTGTGTTTGTGCAATTCTCATAACCAATTGATAATGATATCATTGAAAATCGATTATTGTCCCCCGTATGCATTCGCCTCATTGTTTTTCTTGAAATTCTTAGTTTTTTTAAATGATTATGTCCATGTAAATAAAAAATGCCTATGTTTGACTATTTTAGTCACACATTTGTCTTGTTAAATTCATCTCTTTATGCTTGAAATAATACGAAACTTTGAACTGATTCATTTATATATATACATGGGCGATGTGCTCTGTTGTGTCGTATAACTGACGAATCAAGTCATACATTATAAACTAAGTTTGAACTAAGGTACAATTAAATTTTCAACTAATAACAATGCACTTTAAGGTAATGAAAGAAATCAATATTGACATAAAATATTAAGGTTTACACCTAGATAGTACTTATTTCATAACACTGTTAATTATAACATAAAAAGCAGATTGACAAGAGCGAAAGTGAAATGAGTTCAACTAACAGCATGAATAATAATAATAATAATAATAATAAAAAAAATAATAATAATAATAGTAAAGAAAATCTAAAATAACTAAGAGAGCAAGACCAATCAAACTATTTTAGACGAATATTAAAAACTGAACAGTTGTTTTGTTCCTGTGTAGAACTCGTCAAAAATGTACATCTAAAACCTTACTGGAGATCTAAACTGGGATTCGCAGGCCTCGCGGTGAGGCGGACGTTGTGACCGGTAGAGTTCAACCCACAATGCAAGTGCCTACCAAAGACAATGAGAGGTGGTTGCAAATTAACGCTCATGGAGTGAAGTTAGACATATAAACCATTGGCTACTGGCGCAGTGGTTTGGAGGTCAAGCTCTCAGTTGTGAAGTTTAAAGGTCTGAATTACTTTGTGTTGGTATTAGTTAGTCAACCAGTCCAAGACATAGATTAGATCGACAGTATGTGGACACATAAAACGGTTATATGTCGCTGTTAGATAGCATGCTCTAACTAAAGTTTCTAAACCAATAGTTATTTATTTAAGTTCTCTAAATAAAACCCATTTACAAACACATCAGTTAGCTTACATAATCTTTAACTGAAGTTCAACATAATAAATCTACTATCAGACGTCTATAAACATTGAACTAATAAACAGTATTCATTAGAGAGTTATGGGGATTGTTGTTTCGGATTTAAATCATGTCAGAACACCGTTAGAAACCTGGAAGCATTGAATAGCTGTTTCGTCCGAGAATGCGACTCACCAGCAGTGCGTATCCACAAGTACGTCTACTCACGTGGGTCGAACCCGGGTGCGTCGGTTTCGCTTGCAAACACTAGGTTCGATTCCCGTGAGCGGCGGATTCTTTAGTAGTGATTAGTGATAAACTGTGAAAGTTTATCAAAGATTAAAATCAAATTTTTTGACGATTCATTCAAAATGAACGTATTACGATTAAATAAGGTCGAGTAATTTATCATTATGCTGAATTTTTGTTTATGTCAAAAATGACAAGACCTCATTACCTCAAATATTTAAGGTTTACATTAGTTGAATACACTTAAAATGTTGACAGTTTTAGCACATATATATATATTCGGCGTGTTAGTTTTAGGTTTTACCGCCCTAACTTCAAAATATTACTAGACATTGTAAAGTGTTGAGGTGACGCAATTAACTGTGTTTATGTCAGTAACGACCAGAAAAAAAATTAAACCGAAAAGGAATAACTGATACAAAGTTAATCATGATTAAAAGTGACCAACTCAATTTAGCAATGGCTGGATAGATTAAATTTTTCATCTCACAGACTTTATGCAAACTGACGGCTAACAAAACTGTAAAGAATTGATGTTAAAAACTACCAAACAGATTCCAATTGTTCTTTGAAAAAGTATTATGAAAGAATATGAGGCACTTTGATGATGAGTCCCATTTTCGTCGAATGTATACACCTTCAGGACTTTAATGGACAATATTTTCAAAAATACTAATTTAAATCTAAAAACAATTCAACCCTCAGTATTTTCACTGTATCAGTTGCTGACAGATATATGAATTGGTTGGCTGACAATCGGAAACGAGTTCCTTATGATACAGTGAATGTTTCTAATGATATCCAGTTAAGCTATATAATAATAATAATAATAATAATAATAATAATAATAATAATAATAATAATAATAGTAGTTGAAATAATGATAATAGTATTGATAACAAACTGGTTATTGTCAGCATACAAGTTTTGGAAAACTTATAGAATTTTCACAATTTTCAAATCAGGAATTTATCTTCGTTAGCCAGTTATTCATTCAAAGGTTCTAATTATCGGTTACGATAATCTCGTTGACCTGAAGCAGATAGTCCATACCTGTTAATATGGCTCACTTTAGTTGTCAATCACTACACAAACAAATCTTATTTCTTAATTTAACAGCCCTTAGCTTTTTCTCAGCATACTTTTTCACTATACGACATCACCTGTCGAAATAGGCGGTGGTTAGACATGTCCCAGACATTTCAGATGATGAAGATTTACTACTTCGTCGATCAATTTTTCATCTTTGTTTAGTAACTGATTACTAACCTAGTAATTGTTTGCTCGGTAGTTCAAAAATAAATGAGCGATGTTTCGAAGATATTCTCGATCGAATTTTAGTAATCTATGAATACTCTCTATTCTTAACAACCGGATTTCACAACTATAAAGCCGCAAAAGGCGAATTACAGCACAGTAAACTTATCCTTTGTTTGATAAACAGATATCCCGTCTAAGCTAGAAGTAGCTCAAGTTAATAAAAACCAATCTGAATTTCTGAATAGGTCCTTCGATTTCATCGAATAGCAACTTATGAGGACTGATGAGACTCTCAAGATAAATGAAACGGTTGAAAAGCTCAACTAGCATCATTAAAAACCTGAGAGAACTGGACATCCGATTCGCTGTAGTATGGTGCTCAGCAGCCGCATACAGTCACAACCCACCATCCGGAGAACGAACACAGGACATTCGATTTTACGCACGAACTAATATCACCGATTCACAATCTTTCACTCTATGGATGGGCGCACACCTTCATTTTATTCATTTGCAATAATATTTAAGAAGAGAGCTTTATTTTACTAAAGCTGTAAAGCTACTACCCGATTAATATACAGGTGAATAAATTTAAATTTCATTCAAATAGGTCTTTTCCGTTCTAATAATGATAATGTTTTTACTGAGGAGATTGTTAAATTTTAAAGTTACGAACTAATATCAGTTTGAAAATTAATGAGATCAAGTGAGTGTTGGACAATCGTTTCATGCATCATTCTCGAAGATATGTCGGAATAAGGAATGTCGGAACCAAATGACAATAAATTTTCAGATTCTTCAAACTGAATTAAATCTGATGCCAGTTGAGTGGCTATCTGGGTTAAGTAGCTAAGTCAATAACAACGTGGTGGCGTTTAAAGCAAACGTTACTGAATTCGACCTCCGGGGGGGGGTGAGGAACATGGACTCTGAGATGCAGGCACATCCAGCTGCCAAATCCCAAATAAGAAGAAAGGCACGTCTTGGATCTGATTACTAGCCACATTCTATCTACTCTATATATACAGAGACTATTTTCAGACTATTTTCCAACTTTCGTCAGTAGTAGTACAAAGGAGCTGGTCATAGAGTATTATTTGTGAGAAGAGAGAAAACAGTATTGCTTTTTTCATAGTTTTCAAATAAATAAGGTTATAAATAGGCGCATGATTGGTCAAGGAGTGAATCTTTCAATGAATCAATGGTAAGATGTGGGATTTTATCAAAAAAAAGGAATGTCGACAATAAAATATACAAACGATGAGACGTATAATTACTGACCACAATAATAAATGGGAACAACAACTAAAAATCTTCTCCTGTGTTCAAAGGCGTATATGACCTTAAACTTTGAGTATAATGCTATACATAAATATATGTATGTATATATTTGTCTATGGATAAACTGTGTCTCCATCAAAAAGTTTTTACTACTTATAAATCATCACTCGCTTATAAATATATAGATACATATATATATATATATACACCACACACACCACTACAAACTTATTTGTTTAGTTGTTCGTTTGTTTGTTGGTGTTGTTTTGTTCAAGAATATGAGGAGAAAAAAAATAGAGGAAGAGTTAGTAAATAAGTTTGTTTATGCATTGCGTGTACTTTAATGCTACTACTACTCGTTTAACTTATATATGTTATTCCATTTATATTTACAAAAAATTAATGCTCTGTTTACGAAAAAAAAATAGATACATATGCCATCATCATCATCATCATTACAATGAATCACGAAACTAATAATTATGGTTGAAGAGTTTTAGAAGAAAAAACAAAAAACAACAAAACCGAAAGTTAGTTGGTGAGCAAAAATTGGATAACGAGATAATAGTAGTAGTAGTAGTGACCAAGAGTTTTCCGAAATACAATAATTTCAATAGGAAAACAATTATGAATCAACAAATCTGATATAGAGGTTCAGTGTTATCGCGTGCACTGGGTTCGATTTCCGTTTGCATGGTCGAGGATGCGCAATGCTGATGAGTAACAATACTAGGATGAAACGACCGTTCAGGGCTTCCAGGTTTTTTAATGGTGGTCATTGAAAATCTAGAAAAGTTGTCAAATTTATTTTACTTGTACAGAATTGTAATTTCTGATTGTGGATGTTGAAGATTGAAAATAATCAATCTACATTAGCAGATGCATCATCTGGAATGGATTTTCTCGATATTATCTATCTATTAGTTGCAAGAATTTCCGAAGGTTGAAAGGAGGGATTCGCAGTGGAATCCGTAACACTTGTTTCGTCTTATTTGTAACCTATTTTT